GTGTGGGATGGGGAGGGCAGGACAGGGCCTGATTTGCAGCCTGGCAAGGTCTGGCACTGGCTGTCTCCCACGCAGGTGGCTCAAACGTGGACGATGCTGCGGATTATCTATTCCAGCCTCGGCAACGTGTCGTCCGCCAACCTCAACCACAGCATGGGCAAAGGCAGCGCTGCCCTCCCGCTCATGAACAGGTACGGGGGGTTGGAGCTGCACTGAAGGATGTCATGGCTGGGGCAGCTCCGTGAGTGGGAGAGCGGATGTGGCTCCTTTGGGATGGAGTCCTGGAATCATATCACTGAATCACAGTGGCTTCGGTTGGAAGGGACCTTAAAGCTCATCTCATTCCGCCCCCCTGCCATGGACAGGGACACCTTCCACTATCCCAGGTTGCTCCAAGCCCCACCCAACCTGGCCTTGAACACTTCCAGGGATGGGGCAGCCACAGCTTCTCTGGGAAGCCTGTATTGGGGCCTGACCAGCCTCACAGGGAAGAATTTCTTCTTGACATCTGACCTGTCCCAGTCACAGGGTGGGAGCAGGGACAGCTCTCCCTAGCCTCAGGCCATGCTGGTTTACAGATTGGGATCCTTTGGACGCAGCCATTTCCCATGTGGGTGTGAGAAGTGAGTGCCCAGCCTGGCCTTGAGCCATGCAGCCTCATGTACTGCTCCCTTCCCTCCTGGAGCCAGAGTTTGGAGGTGTGGTGGGGTGTGGGACTAGTACCAGCTCTGCAGTTCCTGAATTCATGAGTCATTCGAGTTCCTCTAAGATCATCGAGTCCAACTGTCAACCCAAGACCACCAATAATCCGTGTCCCCTAAGCACTACATCTACACATTTTTTGAACACTTCCAGGGATGGTGACTCCACCACCTCTCTGGGCAGCTGTGCCAGGGCCTGACCACCCTTTCCATGAAGGAATTTCTCCAATATCCAATCTAAACCTCCCCTGGCACAGCTTGAGGCTGTTTTCTCTCCTGTCCCTTGTTCCCTGGGCGTAGAGCCTGACCCCCATCCCAGCTCCCCCCTCCTGTCAGGGAGTTGCAGAGCCAGAAGGTCCCCCCGAGCCTCCTTTTCTCCAGGCTGAGCCCCCCCAGCTCCCTCAGCTGCTCCTGCTGCTCCAGCCCCTTCCCAGCTCCATTCCCTCTCTGGATGTGCTCCAGCCCCTCAATGTCCTTCTTGTTGAGAGAGGTCCAGAACAGCCCCAGCACTGGAGATGCCTCAGCAGTGCCAGCACAGGGATGGTGACCAAGGGCTGGGGGTGGAGAAGGTGTCTTATGGCTGGAGCTGGGGCTGGGGGTGTGCAGAGGTTTTCTTCTGCCTTTCCAAGGGAGAGCACAGCCCAGCTCTGTGAGAGCCCCACTGTGGGCTGATGAAGCAGGAAAACTTGTTTTTCCTCTTCTCAATGACATAAACGTGAGGGGTGAGGACTCCAAATTAGCTGTCAGACCTCTCAGGGCCAGGTTCCCACAGTGAGTGACAGATCCTCAAATAACATCACAAGAAACAAGCACTGTCCTTGACCAAGCTCTGCCTCCAGCTGGGTTGCTCTGCCACTGACTGAAACACTGCTGGGCTCTGCTCCAGCCCCATCCCTTCCCTTTTCCATCGGTGAAAGCTGAGCATGATGGTGAATAACAAACAGCCAAGCACCCTGGAGCGAGGCAGCTCCTGTTTACCTGCCTCTGAGGGGAAGGAGGTAGAGCAGAGGGTCTGCTCAGCACTGAAATTCTTCAGAAGGACCTTTGTAGTGTGTGTGCAGTGACACCAAGCTTGGAGGGAGGGCTGTGACCACAATTGCAACGTCTTTAAGTCACACAGTGAGAACAAGTGACTTCTGCTCTCAGGGAAATCACCTTCTCTCGTGTTTCACCATTCCAACTGCAACTGGACACCTCTATCCAGGCCATTTGTTGGATGGAATGGAAGCTTTAAACCTCCATGACCTATTAAATATGGCTTTTTTCCCCCAGCTTTAACCTGAAGGACATCCCCTCTGGGCTGGGCAGCGAGTCCAGACTGGACCGCAGCAAAGGAGAAAGCCGCACAGAAAACATCCTCATGGACTCCTCCTCCACCCTGATCAACAACGAGGGTAACATTCCTGGGGGGAACAGTCCCACTCCGACAGCTCTTCCCTCCTTAGCTGTGGATGTGGGATGAACTGGTGCACTTATCCTGCAAATTGGGGTGGCTGGACCTGCTGCAGCCCCAGGCGGAGGACACCAAGCCCCAGGGAGCTGCAGAGGGACAGTTTACCCCCGTGATCTGGGGTGACAGTGACAGTGGTGGCTGTGGGTGCCAGGAATGTGATGTGCTGGGGAGCTGGGCTGTCTGACTCGGGCACAGCCTGGCACACTGGAGGACACGGGGAGGTGGATCCAACCATGGGATGAGCTGATTTCTCTCTCCCCGGGCACGCAGACAACGAGGAGACAGAGGGCAGCGATGTCCCTGCGGATTACCTGCTGGGAGATGTGGAGGCAGATGAGGATGACCTGTACATGATGGACCACGAGAACCCACATGGTGAGCACGTGGCTGGTGCTGGGGGGTGCTGCCTGTCCCAGATGGGCAGCTGGATTTCTTCCCTGCTCATTCCTGCTATCTCCTCGCAGCTGAAGAGCAGGAATACAGCCTTCCCCAGGAAGCCTTCCCCCTGCGCCATGAAATCGTGGACAACCCCTCAGCCTTGGACCACCTGCAGGACAAGGCTGACTCCCCCCACGTCAGCGGCAACGAGGCCGAGACAGTGTCGCTGACCCCCGTGGAGTCCTTCTCCCTGATCTCCATCTCCCACTCGCTCTACGAGAACCGCCTGCCCTCCGACTTCTTCAGCCCCATCGTGCGGGACACGCTGCTGTTCTACGCCGAGCAGGGGGACGTGCAGACGGCCGTGTCCGTGCTCATCGTGCTGGGGGAGCGCATCCGCAAGGAGATCGACGAGCAGACACAGGTGGGACCCCCTGGGGGCAGGGGCACCTTGGTGGGATCCACAGGGGGTGTATCCCAATGCTGTGAGATCCCTCCTGTGCTCTGGGAACCTCCCTTCTCCTCCAGCCCCTGCCAGTTCTGCTCTAACTGGGGTGGGCAGCTCCAGGACCCCTGGTACCTGCTGGTACCTACTGGTACCAGGGACTTGAGGTGGTGTCTGCAAGGTCAGGGTGGGGGAGTGGCTGTGACCTGTTGATTTGGGGAAGGATGCTATTCCCCAGTGTTGCAGAGCTGTTCTACCACCACAGGGGTCTTAGACTCATGGAATCCTTTAGGTTGGAAAAGCCCTCTAAAATCATCAAGTCCAGTCATTTCCTCAGCACTGCGAAGGCCACCACTAACCCATGTCCCCAAGTGCCACATCCACACGGCTTTTAAATTCCTCCAAGGATGGTGACTTCACCACTGCCCTGGGCAGCTGTGCCAATGCCTGACCACCCTTTCAGGAAAGACATTTTCCCAATATCCAGCCTAAATCTTCCCTGGCACAGCTTGAGGCTGTTTCCTCTTGTCCTGTCCCTTGTTCCCTGGGAGCAGAGCCCAACCCCCTGGCTCCCCCCTCCTGTCAGGGAGTTGCAGAGAGAGGCTCCCCCCTGAGCCTCCTTTTCTGCAGGCTGAGCCCCCCCAGCTCCCTCAGCTGCTCCTGGTGCTCCAACCCCTTCCCCAGCTCCATTCCCTTCCCTGGACATGCTCCACCCCCTCAGTGTCCCTTGTCTGAGGGGCCCAGAACTGCCCCCAGGGCTGGAGGTGCCTCAGCAGTGCCAGCACAGGGATGGGCACTGCCCTGGTCCTGTGACCACACCATGGCTGGTACAGCCCAGGCATCATTGGCCTTCTTGCCCACCTGGGCACACCTGGGCTCATATTGGGCCACTGTTGACCCCCAGGACCTTTTCGACCTTTTTGACCAGCTCCTCTGCCCCAAGTTGGGAGCGCTGCAGGGGGCTGTGACCCAAGCATGGATCTTGCCTTTGGGAGGCAGGGCAGGGATCCCAAGGGGGTTTCAGGGTGGATGTTGAGGCTCTACCATCTGTGGCCCTCTCAGGAACACTGGTACACGTCCTACATCGACCTGCTGCAGCGCTTCCAGCTCTGGAACATCTCCAACGAGGTGATCAAACTGAGCACCTGCCGTGCCATCAACTGCCTCAACCAGGCTTCCACCACCCTCCACGTCAACTGCAGCAACTGCAAGCGGCCCATGAGCAACAGGGGCTGGATCTGCGACAGGTGAGGGCACAAAGCGGGCACAGAGCTGGGGACAGCTCAGCAAGGGGGTTCCAGGGGCTCTGTGGGGGCAGGAGGATGGGGTGGGTGCCCATGTTCCCCTTTGGTGCCCCCCAGGGCTCTCCCTGCCCATGCTCCTCCATTTCTCTCGTGCAGGTGTCGGCAGTGTGCCAGCATGTGTGCCGTGTGTCACCACGTGGTGAAGGGGCTCTTCGTGTGGTGCCAGGGCTGCAGCCACGGGGGCCACCTCCAGCACATCATGAAGTGGCTGGAGACCAGCTCCCACTGCCCTGCTGGCTGCGGCCACCTCTGCGAGTACACCTGAGCCCTAAGCCCCACAGGGGGGGATGGCGGGCAGGGGATGGGCAGGGCAGGCAGGATCTCCTGCCTGGTACCCCCCACACCTCCCTCCCTGTATTTATTGTGTAAATAAGGGCTGGGGTGCCCCCCCTGCCCAGCCGTTTTGTACTGGATTAAAACAAACCAGCAGCTGAACCGAGCCATGACTGTTGTCTTCACTTCACCCGGATGCAGAAGACCCCGGGGTGGGGCTGGACCCCGTTTCGGGTCGGGGGTCGGTGCCCCGGGGGCCTGGGGACCCCACTTTGTTGTTGCCCCCTTACGTGAGGAGGCCCCTTTAAGCCTTGATAAGGGCCCCACATTTCTGTTGCCCCTTTAAGCCTTGAGGTGGAGCCCATTTCATGTTGCCCCTTTAAGCCGTGGCCGTCACCAGGCGGATGTGCGCGCGGTGCATGCCGGGGGTCGTAGTTCCGGTGGCGATGGCGGCGCGGCTGCTCCCGCTGCTCCCGCTGCTGCTGCGCTGGGCCCGGCCCGTCCAGGGCACCGCCCCGCCGGGCGGCGGATGGTGAGCGCGGGGGGGCTTCCCCGGGCCAGGCCGGAGCACGGGGAGCGCGGGGGGGCTGCCCCGGGCCGGTCCCGGTGCCGGTGCCGAGCGCAGCCTCCCGCTGCAGGCTGGCGGGCTCGGTGCCGGAGGAGGAGCGCTGCACCGTAGAGCGGGTCGATGCCTCCCTCACATACTCCCTCTTCCTGCAGCGGTAACGGGGGGCCCGGCACGGCCCCGCTGGACCGAGACATGGGTCCCGGGGCGGGAACAGTGCCCGGTGCACCGGGTGGGATAACGGGGAGGGATCGGGAGGGTCGGAGGGGCGAGGACCCGGGGAAGGTGGTTGGAGCCGGTCCCAGTGCCCCGGGAGTGGTTTAGAGCCTGTCCTGGTGCCGGTTTAGGGCCAGTCCCAGTGCCCCAGGGATGTGTCGGGGTTGGTCCCGGTACCCCCAGAGCCGGATTGAAGCCGGTCCGGTGTCCCGGGGATGTGTTAGGACCGGTCCTGGTACCTCCGGGGGTGGGTCGGGGCCGGTCCCAGTGTCCCGGGGATGTGTCAGGGCCGGTCCCGGTGTGTCGCCCGGGCGGGACCCCGCTGGATGCTCCCCCCAGGTTCGCCTTCTCCCGGCCAGTGATCCTCGGCGGGGTCACGGACAACTCGGTGAGTGCCGGGAGGGTCCGGGGGTACTCCGGGGAGGTCACATACCCCCCGTGCCATCCCGTCCCTGTGCTCCATCCCCAGGCGTTCCGAGCCCTGTGCACCCGGGAGAAGCTGCTGGCGGCGTTCGGGCCGCTCCCGGTGCGGCTCAGCACGGCCAACACCTACTCGTACCGCAAAGGTGAGAGGGGGCCGCGCCCGGCCCGGCGGAGCCGCTGCCCCCGCTCACCGCTCCCGTTCCCGTTCCCGCAGTGGATGTGCCGTTCCAGGAGTACGTGGAGCGGCTGCTGCAGCCGCAGGACCCGGCCCGGCTGGGCAGTGGTGGGTGCAGCACCGTCCCGGCCCCCCCGGAACCCCCCGGTCTTCACCGGGCTCAGCCTCCCGTGTTCCCCCAGACACCCTCTACTTCTTTGGGGACAACAACTTCACCGAGTGGGGCCCCCTGTTCCAACACTACGTGCCCCCTCCGTTCCGCATCCCGGGCACCAGCCCTGCCTACAGCTTCGGGATCGCAGGTGGGCACGGGGTGGATCCGGGGGGGGGGGTGTCTCCCCAGCACCAATCCCCCGTTCTACTGCAGGCTCAGGCTCCGGTGTTCCCTTTCACTGGCACGGCCCCGGTTTCTCTGAGGTGATTTTTGGCAGGAAGGTGAGAACTGAGCCCTGAGAGAAGGATTTGGAGGGGCGAGGGAGAGCAACAAGCCCCCTAAGGGGTGTCCCTGAACACGGGGAAGCCCTGATGGTGCTGAGCCTGAGGGGCTGGAGGGGAAATTGGGGGGGGGGGGTGTCCCCTTGGTGTTTTCCAGCGCTGGTTCCTGTACCCCCCGGATAAAACCCCCCACTTCCACCCCAACGAGACGACGCTGGCCTGGCTCCAGCACACGTACCCCACACTGCCCCCTGCCCAGCGCCCCCTCGAGTGCACCCTGCGCCCCGGGGAGGTGAGTCAGCACCCAGGACCCCCGGGAGGGTGGAGGGGACCCCACACAGCCCAACTAGAGCCACACGACCCCCCCGTGCTCCCTCCCACAGGTCCTGTACTTCCCTGACCGCTGGTGGCACGCGACACTCAACCTGGACACCAGTGTCTTCATCTCCACCTTCCTTGGGTAGAGCCAGGAAGGACAAGGATGTGTCACCATCATCCTGGACAAGGCAGGAATTCCTGCCACCCTCAGGGAAAGGCAACTGGTTTGGGGACCAACTGCCTGAGAAAGTTCTGGTTTTTACTTGTCTTTTTCCTCCCCCTTGGATTAAAGTTGTTCTACTGTAGCCATTGTGTGTTGCTACATCCCCCCTCCCACTGGCTCCCGAGCCAGGATATCCCCTGAAATCACTGCTGTGAACCACTTCAGCTCCTTTTCCACATTTATTGCTGATTTTTTTTTAATTATTTTTATATATATATATTTTTTTAATGGACATTGGCAAACTTCCAGGGGGTGCTCAAAAAGCCAGGCAGGCTGTGGGCCGACCAAAATGCTGGAACCTCAGTTGGATAAAGATTTGTTGGTTATTTTTTGTGGTGTTTTTTAAGTAATTTAATTAAAGGAGTAAGAACTTTCCAAGTGGTTGTTTGCAGGGAACCACAGGCGAGGGGAGGCGGGAGCCAGCCCCTTCCAGCCCTGGGGCTGTTGTTTCCTGGGAAAAGCCAGAGGGTGAGTTGGTCTCACCCTGGCAAGTGGCTATTTACAGGGAAGAGGACCCAGCCCTGGCCAGGCAGAAGGTGGAAGGAGGAGGAAACAACTATATACACAGGGAGGGACTGGGCTCCAGGTGCTCATCCCAGCGAGCTCCCTGTGGCACTCCCTGGAGCAGGACACTCTTTGGGGACTGCCAGCGGCCGTGGCCGAGGGGGACCCTGCTCTGTGAGCCATGGAGATGATAGTGAGGCCACTGCTGCTAAGGCAGCCTTCTCCCGACCCCCAGGCAGGTCTTGGAGCTGGAGAGGGGAGCCCAGGGAGCCGTGGTGCCCACCCAGCCACTACGGGAAGGGGAGATGGTGACGTGCCCTCGCCTCACGCTGGGTCTGGGGCAGCCGGAGCGGAGGGGGAGCAGCCAGGGAACAAGTAAGGCATGGTGCCAGCCTGGGGAGCTGTGCTGGGGCACTCCAACACTACCCCAACCCCTCAGTTATGCCCCCCCAGGCCCCTCAGTAATTCCCCCAGCCCCTCAGTAATCCTCCACCCAGCCGTTCTCCGAGATGAAGGCATCAATCACCTCCTTCATGGCGAGGTTGGGGATCAGCTGGTCCTGGGTCAGGGGACTCCGCGTCACCGGGTCGAAATGACCCACGCGCTGCAGGGAGGAGCGGGTGGGAACCGGTTACTCCACCTGCCCGGGCTCAGCCCTGGGCCACAGGGACCATTGGCATCTGCCCTGGCATCCGGCACGGCAGCCAGGCCTCCGGGGGGAAGGAGGGACAGCCCCCTCTGAAGGTGCCTCTCAGCAGGATGAGGGCAGGTCAGGGCACAAGACCCCGGCCAAGAGCCGCCTCTGCTTTGGGCAGGGCCTGGCAGCACCTGCTCCACAGGGAGCTGCCCTGGCACGTAACTGGGAACAAACCCAAGGAGCCTTCAGAACCCTGAGCTGGGAGCTGCCTTCCTGCCCAGGCAGGAGAGGAAGGCAGGAAAGGTGCTGGGAAACCCCCCTGCCCCTGGCCCGGTGGTACCTGGAGATGCTCCTCGATGTCCTTCCTGTCGTAGGTGATCCCACTGGGCGTGATGCAGGGCTCTCTCATCAGCTCAAAGCTGATCTTCCCGCACAGGTAGTCAGGGATGTCCCGCTTCTGGCTCGAGAGAGGCACAGCTAGGTCAGGAAGATGGACTGGGAGGTGGTGCTGGCTCAGAGGGGGAAGCAGGGAACACAGCAGGGGAGAGATGGGAGCGTAGGTCAGGGCACACTCACCTTCCTCTTCTCATCCACCTGGGAGAAGAGCTCGTCCATGTCTGCCAGGTATTTGTCCTGAAAGAAAAGCCCTTCAGGACAAGGACACCCCAGCACAAATGGGCTACCCCAGGGAGAGCCCCCAAGCCTCCCACCCATGGGAGCAGCTCCTCAGCCCCTCTGCCCGTGCAGCTCCCAGCTGAACCTGGCAGGAGTGATCCAGCTTAAAACTAACCTTCCTTCATGGGGCTATTTTTATCAGGGATTAGTCCCCAGCACCCAGACCCATATGTGGCCAAGAGCCACTTGTGTTCCCTCAGGGAACAACAGGCCCAGAGGCATCACTACTGCTGGGCTGGGACAAGAGGTGACAGAGCAGGGGCAGCCGTCACAGGGGGACACAAAAGCACCAGCCACAGAATGAAGGCTGAGGAGCTGTGCTCTGTCCTGGGGTCTCTTGGCTTTCATCTGCACAGCCGCAGCCCTGGCTTCCCTGGCTACAGAAGAGCCTGGGGATGAGCATGAGGATGGGATGAGGAAGCCCCCACTCACGTGCTTGGCCTCGATGGTGGCCAGCTGAACTCGGCTCCGGCTCTCGTCCGTGTTTTCTTCTTGCTGGGTCTTCCGGCACTCGGCTAGCTCCCTGGGACAGAGCAGAGCAGGAGGATGGAGGGACACTGCCACTCCCTTCCCTGCTGTCCTGGAGGGCAGAGGCACCTCAGAGACCTGTGACAGCGTGGTGATACTCAAAAAGCCTTTACTGGTGCCCTGTGCCCTGTTACCTCTCCTTCTCCGCCATGATCAGCTTGGTCAGGTGGGAGTGCAGCTCGTTCTCCTGGTTGATCCGCTTCTCCTCGATGCTGTTCCAGCGTTTCTTCTTGGCGATGCGCAGGGCGCTGGGGATGTCGTCCCCGAAGTTCAACCGCTGCTCCTTGGCCAGGTTGTAGGCTGGGGAGAGCAGGGCCATGTCAGAGCCAGCACCGGGTCCCTGGCACCACCCTTGGCCCTTTCCCACAGGCGGAGGGGCCCCCGTGCCCGCTCACCTCTCTGCAGGTTGGCAATGGCCTCGTCGTAGTTCTCCATCTCCAGCTGGCACTGGCCCAGGAAGAAATGGGCCTTCACCGACTGCCCGTCCAGCTCCAGCGCCCGCTTGCAATCCGCCAGGGCCTTGTCGTGCTGCTGCATCTTCAGGTAGCACAGGGCCCGGTTGGTGTAGTACACGGCCACCAGGGGGTTCCGGTTCTGTGGGGACAGCCCCATGTCAGGGGGATGGCAGGGACAGCTGGGGCACTCGGTGACACTGCCACCCGGGCAGGGAGAGCCGGCAGTGCCAGTGCGGGCGTGCAACCCATGGGGAGGTGCCTGGATGGATTGGGGACAGGCTGGGCCGGTCCCCATAGGGCAACCTGTGTCCCTGCCTCCAGAGGGGACAGTCCTCACCAGCTGGGGGGGCTGGAGCACCCCGGGGGGGGGGCCCTCCCCAGCACAGCCTGGGGATGGGGCAGGGTGGGGGCACCCTGGGGGTGAGTGGAGAGTCCAGCTCAGAGAGAGTGGGGGGACAGGCTGGGCTGGGAGGTGTCCATGCCCAGGGAGGGGGCTAGGCCAGGCCTGGGGGGCATAGTCCAGGCCCAAGAGGGAGGATCCAGGCCCAGGAAGGTGGTCTAGGTCAGGAGGGGACAGTGTCCAGACTAAGGAGGTCCCATCCTAAAGGTATCCAGACCAGGCTCGGGAGAAAAACATTGTCCAGACTAAGGAGATTCCATCCCAGGGGTATCGAGGCCAGGGCTGGGGAGGTGTCCAGGTTGGGGGAAGCGGGGTCCCATCTCGGGGGTGTCCCATCCCCGAGGGTCCCGTCCCGGGCTCAGCCAGGCCAGGACCGAGAGGGTGCCCAGACCAAGGGACGTCTCATCCTGGGGTTATGGAGGCCAGGGCAGGGCCCGTCCCGGGGGTGTCCAGGCCAGGACCGGGCCGGGGGGGAGGTTGGTGTGTCCTGTCCCCGAGGGATCCCGTCCTGGGACCATCCAGGCCGGGGTGACCCACCCCTGAGGGCCCATCCCGGGGGTACCCGGGCCAGGCCCGTGGGGAGGGGGGCGATGCGTCCCCTCCCCGCCGATCCCGTCCCGGTGGGACTCACGATGGCGCGGCCGTAGCAGGCGGCGGCTTCGGGGTACTTGCGGCCGCCGAAGAGCCGGTTTCCCTGCTCCTTGTGCTCCTGCGCGCTGTGGCTCTTCTCGGGGCTGGCGCCCCCCGCGCCCCCCGCGCCCGGCCCCGCCGCGCCGGGCCCCGCCGCGCCCTCGCGCTCCTCCTTGCCCTTCATGGCCGGCGCGGCCCGGCCCGGCCCGGCGGCCGCGGCTCCGCGATGGGCGGCCCCGCTGCGCTGCGCCCGCGCACTGCGCATGCGCCACCGCCGGGGCGGGGCCGTGGGAGGGGACAACGGGGAGGGGCGGAGCCGGCGGGGAAGGGGCGGGGCCAGTTCGGCAGGGGAGGGACAGACAGCGAGAGGGCGGGAGTTGGAATGTGGGCGGGGCTAATGTGGGGGCGGGGTCTGACGGGGAGAGGCGGGGCCTACGGGCGGAGGGGCGCGGGCAGTGTTTGTGGGCGTGGTCATATGGAGATGGGCGTGGTCATAAGGAGGTGGGCGGGGCATGGTTGAGGTTTATGGGGCTGAAGGGGGGCTGGATGGAGCGGATTGGGGGGTGCGAGGGGGCTTGGGGGCTATGGGAGTGCGCGGGGGCTGGGGAGGGGTTGAGGATGGGATTTCAGGGGGATGTGGGCTGACTGGGGGCTTGGGGAGGGGGTGCAGAGGAAGCTCGGGGGATCGGCGGAGGGGTGGGAGTGAACAGAGGGTTGTGGGGTGCAGAGGGGCTGTTGGGTTCTAGGAGTGAGCGGGATGTGGGGGCACAGAAGGGTGTGGGGTTGGATGAGGTGGGGGCTTGGGGGCTGGATGGGGGTGTGTGCAAGGCTGAAGTTTGGGTGCGTGGAGCAGGCGGGGCTGGATGCGGTGGGGGGTGGTCTCGGTGCTGCAGACAGCCCCCCAGCCCCACACCCCCCACACACCCCCACGCCCCCCCGCGCTGCCAGCCCCGCGGGGCTCGGCCGGGTGCCGCTCCACTTATCCCAGAGTTTTCTGCTCCAGTAAGTCCCGTGCCCGGCTGTGACCCCCCCGCCACCGCCCACCCCGGGGCCAGCCAGCCCCGGCGCCCTCCCCGCCTCCCACAGACCCAAAATCTCCCCCGAGAGAGACACACGCCCCAGCAGTGTGCAAAATATTTATTTATACTCCAAAAAGGTCGGGGGGGGTCAGAGCGGGGAGCCCCCCTGCGCCCCCATCCCGTGGCGAGCCCCCCGCCCCGGGGAGGGCGCTGGCAGCAAAGCGGGGGGCCGGGGCGCGGGGAAGGGGGGGCTGCGCCCCGAGGGCACTGCCGAAACGAGTTGTGCCGGTCTCAGCTGGTTCCTGCCGGGCTCTCCCCATATCCTTCTTTTTTTTTTTAATTCCTCTCTTTCTTTTATTTATATTTATTTTGGCGTAGAAAAATAAATCGCTCCTATTTTGGCACCAGTCCTTCTTGTGAAAGTGCAGGTCCTGGGGGGCAACGAGTGTTGGCCCCCACCCTGGGAAGGGGGTACAGGAGCCAGCGAAGGGGTCCCCACACTCGGCTCCTTCCGGGGGGCACATCCCGAGCCCTGCGGGCACCCCGGGGGGGGTTGCGATGCCAGGGCAGGGCTGAAGCATCCTTTGGGGTGGGGGTACAGCGCAGGGGGTCGGCAGGTACATTCGGGGGGCGCAGCCCGGGGTGGGGGGCGGCGCGTTCTGTAGCACCGAGGGGGCAGGCGGGCGGGGGGTGGCCTGTCCCCATGTCACGCGCGGGGACCCCCCGACCCTCCACCGGGCCTGGAAAACAAACCAACCGAAGGGCCGGGGCGGGGGGCGTGGGCTATGGCGGGGGGGGGATCTGTGCTCCCAGCAGGTCGTAGGCGAAGATGTTCCAGAAGACGGCGAAGAGCAGGAAGGTGCCGTAGGAGAGCAGCAGCACCCACCAGCCGCACTGGTCCTGCAGGCTCTCCTCGTAGCTGCGCAGGATGGTCAGCCCCATGCTGATGCCCACGATGGCCCCCGCCAGGTGAGCCATGAAGGACGGCTGCGGGCCCGAGGCCGGCAGCGGCGGCGAGAACCGGAGCCACACGGCGCGACCCACCTCGGAGCTCACTGCGGGACACGGCAGGGCTGAGCCCACCCCGGCCGCCCCTCCCGCCCGCGGGGGATCGGGGGTGGGTACTCACTGCACACCAGCGCCAGCACCATCCGCAGCAGCTTGTAGGGGCAGCGCATCCCGGCCCAGTTCTGCGGGAGAGGGACGGATGGATGGATGGATGGATGACTGGACGGACAAGGGGCTGGCACCAGCGATGACCCAGCACCAGGGCGTAGGCTGGTGCCATACCCCCAGTGCTCCCCGTGGAGTTCCCCCACGTCCCTGCTCCTCCCACCCACACCCACCCCATGATGCCACCCAAGGTGCTCTCCCCTGTAACAGTGCCCCCCCCCGATGCCACCCCACAGCATCCCCCCTCAGCACCCTCAGTGTCACACCATGCTGCCCATCCTACGGTGCCACCCACCCCATGGCACAACCCCCATCAATGTCACACAAGCACACTGACACCCACCCCCAATGCCACCCCACAGCACTTCCCCCCAGTGTGACACAAGGCTGCCCATCCCACAGTGCCACCCACACCATGGCATCCCCCCCTAATGTCCCACCAACCTTCCCACCCCACAAACAGCTCCAACCCATGGTGTCACCCAGTGGTATCCCCCACCCAATACTACAGCGTGCTGCCCACCCTACAGTGCCACCCAGCCCCAATACCACCCCATGGCATCCCCCTTGATACCCCTAATGCCCCTCTCCCTCCAATGTCACACCATGACACCCACCCTCCAGTGCCATCCACTCCATGGCACACCCCCCCCATGCTACCCCCCTCGTGCCCCCTGTGCCCCCTCCCCACTGACCATGACGACGTTGGCGAGGTGGGCTGAGCAGAGGGCGTAGACCCCCCCTGAGCCCCCGACCAGGGGGGCCCTCATATCAGTGATGGAGACAGTCAGGGAGCCTGGGGGCACAGACAGGGCTCAGCACAGAGCCTCACCCCCACAGCATTAATTAATTACTGTCCACATTAATTAATTAGAGGCTGCATTGCCCCCCAGCCCCCTGCCAAGTGACTCTGGCACTGCAGGGTAGTACCCAGCAAAGCCCTTCACCCCCATCAGACTCAGGGTGCACCTCCCCGTGCCCTCCCTGGGGCTGGGGACAGATGGGGACAGATGGGGACAGATGGGGATGGCCCCCCCGGGCAGCACCCACCTGCCAGGACCCCGGCCAGGTAGAGGAAGCTGATGCGCAGGATGCCGTGCACCATCTCCAGGGGCACCCCGATCATCAGCTGCAGGAGGGCGTTGAACCCCAGCTGCTCCAGCCTGCCCGGGCACAGGAGGGCACAAGGGGGGCTCAGCCCGTGCAGCCCCCGGGGTGTCCCCGGTGGCCCCCCCGCAGGACCTACCCCACGTGCATGAACATGTAGGTGAGGAAGCGCCAGGCCCTCGCCCGGTGCCCGGGGTGATAAACCAGGGGGCTCTTCATGTACTCGGGGTGGTAGGTCTGCAGCACCCACTTGTTCAGCCGGGCCCCGTAGCAGAGGAACACGATGATCTGTGACAAAGCCCATGGCTGTCACCCCCCAGCACTGCCAAAACACTCCCCCATCCTTCTGTCCTGGGCTGGAGGCACCTGGCCTCTTCACCCCAGGTCCGAGACCCCAGAGGATGCCAGAACATCACAGCTGGGGTCACCTGTCCCCTCTGCTCTGAGTCTGAGCCTCCCATGGGCACTGGCGGTAGAACTGGGGTCACCCATCCCCTCTTCCCTTAATCTGGGTTCCACATAGGGGCATGAGGACATAACAAACAGGGTCCCTCATTCCTTCACCTCAGATCTGAGCCCCCCAAGGGCACCAGGCCATCACAACGGGGGTCACCCATCCCTCTGCCCTGGGTCTGAGCCTCTGTATGGGCACTGGCACATTACAACCCGGGCCACCCATCCCTTTACCCCATATCTAAACCTCTCCATGGTCACCAGGACATCAGAATGGGGTCACCCAGCCCCACTGCCCTGGGTCTGAGTCCCCCATATGGGCACAGAGATGTCACATCCAGCGTCACGCGTCCCTTCGTGTCAGACCTGAGCCCCCTAGTGGGCATCAGGACATCACAACCAGGGTCATCCATCCCTCCTTCACTGCAGGTCTGAGCTCCAAATCTCAGAACCAGAGTCACCCACCCCGTCCACCCCGAGTCTGAGCCTCGCCGAGGTCACCGGGACACTTGGGCGGGGCTCGGCCCTGCCCCGCACCTGGGTGAGGGTGACGGCTGCCATGAACACGGGGGGCGGGCAGGTGCGGTGCTGGTAGAAGTACCAGCGCCGGTCCATCTCGCAGGGCAGGATCTCGTAGGCCACGTAGCGGACGAAGCGCTTGTAGAAGCCGAGGCCGGTCTCGTCCAGGAGGACGTCGCGGGGCAGCGCCCGCTGCCCGTTGGCGATGGCACGTTTGAAGCTGCTCGAGCGCTTGCTGCTGATCTGTGGGGAGAGCCCGGGGGGCCGCGGGGGCCGCGGGGCTTGTGGCCACCCCCTGCCCAGCCACCCCCTCATGCCACAGCCCGGACGAGCCACCTCAAGGCCGTGCCACCATCCCATGCCCCGGAGGGCCCACCGATGTCTGCCTCCCTCCCCAGGGGCACAAAGAGGTGCCCAGTGCCCACCCCGGGCTGGCACCCGGCCTCTCGCCCCCGTCCCCGCGGCCCCTTGGCACTGACCAGGTCTACCAGCTCCTGATAGCAGACCTGCCCCTCGTCGTTGCCCTGTGCCAGGGCCACCAGCATGTCGAGCTTGGCGGGGTCCAGGGGCAGCTCATGGCTGTGCACCAGGCTGGCAAACGTCTCCACCCCGATGAAGCCGGTGTTTTCGGGGTCGAGCTGTGGGGCATGTCAGGGGCATTACTGGGATGCTGGGGCTGCGACTCTGTGGTTGGCTGGGGAGACCACCCGGTGCCCCTCATCGTGGCCTTATGCTGCTCCGTAACACCAGTCTCTGCCTCTGTCAGGGACACTACAACCTGCCCCCCCTCCAGACCCCGCACCATGTGGGTGCCCCGTGCCACACGGGTGCCCCGTGCCGTGCCGGTGTCCCCATCTCCCCGCGGAGCAGCCAACACTCTCCTACTCAGTTATTTCTTGCCGCCAGCAGCCTGCCAGCCAGGAAGCCACCAAGCTAAACACACGCGCAGCCCTGGCACCAGCCTCCTCCTCCTCCTCCTCCACCTCCTCCTCCTCCTCCACCTCCTCCTTCTCCTCCTCCTCCCCTGCTCCTCCCGTCGCCCTTGCCACTGGGATTCACCACACCCTGTGCCGGGGCACCCTCTGCCATCCTCGGGGCTCCCGGAGTGAATTGGGCACCCTGAGCCCTCCAGGCACAGCGCACCACGGGGTACCCAGCACCACGGGGTACCCGATGTGGTCCTGTTCATGGAGACAAGGAGCCCAGGATGGCACAGGGAGGATGGAGATTGGGAGGGGGTACCCATGGTTGGAGCACAGGGTGGCTGGGACCCTGAACCCCACAATGACCCTGAAATTGTGTTAGGTTTGCTCCTTGCTTCTGCGGGGAATGAAACAGAGGAGAGGAACCTCGTCCTCATGGGATGGGCAGGAAGGGGAATGCTGGGGGAATGGGGTCACATCCACACCAAGGTGGACACCCTGCCCCTCCAGCACCATCAGGGAACAGCCACAGCCTCTTTCCCGAGAAGGGTTTGGCTGCCCCAGAGCAGGGGGCAGGGGTGGGACACATGGAGTGGGATGCAGGGTGGGATGTGTGAGGTACAGGGTGTAGGATACAGGTGCAGGCAGCACTTGCATCCTCAGAGAAGCCACCAGCCCATGAGAGCAGCCCCAGCCGTTGGGATTTGGGAGCGTCCTGTCCCCTCTGCCCCACACACGTCCCCCACAGGTGCCACGTGTGTGTGTGTCATGCTGGGACCTGGCACACACTGTCCCCATGCTGGCACACGCCGAGCTCACTGGCCTCAGGAGCCCCGGCAGCAGCCAGGACGCCCCTCTCTGCTTTTAGGGTGCAATTTCCCACACCCCAACTCCACTGGCCCCCTATGCCCCTCCCCAAGAGGGCTTGATCCCCAGTCCCCCAGCCCCCTGATCCTGCTGGGTTCCCCCAAGTCCTGCTGTCTCCCAGGAAAGATGCTGCTCATCCCTGAGCTGCTCGGGGACACATGGAGCCCCAGAGCCCGAGGGTGGGTTGACACGGGGGACAGCACCGCAACTCCCGGGCTGGGGGACTCAGCCAAGGTCATGGAGCCAGCCAGGGGTGAGGGGGAAACAGTTCATTTCCCTGATCCCCAGTAAATTCTGTCCCCATGCCCAGGGGAGAGCAGCCAGCTGGGCCCGGGGTGGGTGGGGATGCAGGGACGAGCCGGCGGAGCTCAAGAGGGGCTCCTGGGGGCTGGGGGTCAGTGGGAGGTATCGCCTCGAGCCCCCATCCTGCCGCGAGCGCCAGGATGCCCCACGCCAGGCAGCGCTGATGCTCCACGGCCCGATCCCGCAATCAGGTCACGGGGGTGGGTGCAGTCCCCCGCCTCGCCGGGATGCCCGATCCACGGCACGCCCAGGGCCCCATCCTGCACCCAGAGCCCACGGGCGGCGCCGGGGCTCGGTGCCCAGCACCCCCCGTCCTTGAGGGTGCAGCGGGCAGGATCCGGCCCGGGGCTGGCGGAGGAAGAGGCCACAAGTGAGCCGAGTTGCGCGTTCTCGGCGGCACGGGGGGGGCGGGTCCCCTGGGGCGGTGACGGGGGGCAGCGGGGGACGCTCGCGGGGGGTGGCACGGCCGCGGTCGCCGCCCTGGATGGGCAGCGTTGCCCGCTGCGCGCCAGCCGAGCCCGGTGCGTGCGAGCATCTCCCGCCGGGAGCGATGCCCGGCGCAACACCCCCCCCCGAGCGCAGCCCGGTGCCCGGTGCCCCCCGGGCGGACTCACCTGCTCCTGGATGAGCTGCAGCAGGGAGCTCCTGTCCATGCACCCGGCGGGCGGAGGGCTCCGCCGCTCCCCCGCGCCCGGGGCCGGCGAGCCGGGCAGGGGAGCGGCGCGGGCGGCGGGGGCGGCGGCGGGGGCGGCTCTCCCCGCCAGCCCCGCGTTGCGGCGGGCCCGGGAGCGAGCGGCGAGCGGCGGCGCCGGGAGCCGCCGATGGCAGCGGGGAGACGGCGGCGGCGGGGGCGGGCGCGGAGCCGAGCGGAGCCGCCCCCGCCGCAGCGCGCGGCGCAGCGCCCCCCCCTTCCCGCACCCCCCGCCGCCGCCGCGAGGGGAACCGGGACCCGTCCCGCCCCGCCCCGCCCCGCCGGCGGCACCGGGACACGGCACCGGGAGGGAGCCGGCACCGGGCGCTCTCAGCATGGGATGGTGCCGGGAACCGGCATCCCGGTACAGCTGCGGGCATCCCGGTACTGGAACGTGTATCCTCACATGGCTGTGTGCATCCCGGTACGGGGACCTGCATCCCGGTAATGGTACCCACATCCGAACACAGTTACAACATCCCGGTATGACACCTGCATCCCAGTATCGTATCTACATCCCAGTATGCCACCCACATCCTAGTACTGGCACCCACATTCTGGTACAGGTACCTGCATCCTGGAGTGGGTACCTAAATCTCAGCACTGCGAGTCATATTCTGGTATGGTACCTGCATCCCTGTACTGGTACACACATCCTCATACAGTGCCTGCATCCCAGTATGAATACCTGCATCATGGCATGGGTACCGGCTTCCAGTGTGGTACCTCCATCCTGGACCAGTACCTGCATCCTGGTGTGATACTTGCATCCCAGTGCACTGTCTGCATGCTGGAATTCACATTCCACTTCCAGTACCTGTGTCCCAGTACAGGTTCAGGTATTCCAGTAAGGTACCTGTGTCCCAGTACATGTTTCTGCGTCACGGTACAGCACCTGCATCCTGGTACAGGAATCCATATCCTGGTGCAGTACCTGCATCCAGCATGGGCACCTGAATCCTAATATGGGTACCAGCATTCCAGGTACCTGCTGAATCTGGCATTGGTGACTACAAATGTTCTCTCCATTCTGACCCTGGACCCACAGGCTAGTGGGTGCTCCCACTGGTACGGGGGGCACGGGGCTGTCCCCTGCCCCAGCATAGCACTCATGGGGCAGCCTGGCACTGGGTCCCTTGAACTGGCCCCTTTACGTGATATGCACGGTGTCACCCAGGCCAGGCTCCCCTGGGCCCCCAGTGTGTGCTGGAGCCTCCCCACTCTCCTGGGCCACGGCTCAGCCCCACTGTGGGTGCCTGGGGAGCTCTGGGCCCCTCAGCCCTGCCAGTCACCTTCCTTGGGGACTGTGTGGCCACGGGTGGCCCACGGCCCTGCCATGCGTGTACCCTGTCCTACACCCGTGCCTGCCCTGGCACAGCATCCATAGCTCTGGCACACCAGTGCTATTAATACACACCGCTGCACGTGGGCCCGTGGCTCCCACGGGATCCAGCCTGGTTTGGAGTCACCAGGGAGCACCGCGTGTCTCGCCCGCCTTGGCATCACCTCCTCTGCCCTGCATGGCATTGGTTGTGTTCCCCAGCACCCCTGTCCCCTGGTTTGCCGTGTGGGAAGGGTTTTCTCTCCCACCCCACAGCCTAGAGGGACTCCCCTACAAGTGTGGGAGCAGTCTGGTCCCATCCAGCCTCAGGGCAGAGGCCCTGGAAAAAGCCTTTTCCCAGGCTGTGCCCACATTCCCTGTGCCCAGCGCCCATGGCTGAGCCTGCAGAGACAGAAACAGCCAAGGGAAAAGCTGCCATGGGAAAACAGGAGCAGGGAGGGGAGACAGCATGGCCCCAGGAGCTGCAGGGAAGGGGGAAGCCCTGAAGCCCACATGGGGATGGGCACAGAGAGCCACCGCTGCCGGGGCAGCTGAGCCTCCTGCTTCCCAAGGGATCCTGGCAGAGCACCACGGGAATGGACCACCTCCTTCCCCCTCTCGCCTCTGGCTGGCACTTGTTGCACAGGGATCTGTGTCCCCAAGCACCAAAGAGCCCTGGGCCAGCCCCAAGCTGTCCCACTGTGCCAGGCTTCAGCTTCTGCCCTAAATCTCCATAACCACCCCCAAACAGGGCAGCCCAGGCCCTTGGGGGTCTCCCTGCTCCCACCCCAGTCTGTGGAGGCCCCAGGCTTCACACAGCCTCGTCAGGGACGAGGGTCCTGCTGCCCCAGGTGACACAGGATACAGCGTGCAAGGGGAAGGTGTGTAAAAATTTATTTTGTTGTAGAGAACAAACCTAAAACATCACAGCTCCAGCAGACGTGGAGCAGGGACAGACACCAGGCATGGGCCTGGGGTGGCAGAGCCACACATGGTGGGCATGGAGAGGGATAAAGACACGGCAGGGACATGGCCCTGGCAGTGCCAGGAACCAGGGGCCAGCAGCACGTGGGCGCCCGACCGGCACAGCAGCTCTGGCACAGGCAGGGACCCCCCAGCTGGCCAGTGCTGGGGACTTTGGGCACCACTGTGGGACTGTTCCCTGAGAGATGCTGGTGGCACCTCTCATGCCCCTCACTGGCTCCAGGCCACGGTAAAACATTTAAATAGACAGAACACATAAAAAAGCAGCTCCAGGTGCTACCTCGGAGCTGCCCCCCCAGGCTGCCTGCAAAGAGACCGACCCTGAGTGTGCTGGGGGAGCCCAGGCGGGTGTCTCTCAGCCAGGGGCTCATCCAGGCTCCCCGTGGAGGGACAGGAGCCCAGGGGTGGGTGCTGGCCTTGCTCTTTGGGACTTGGAGACAGGGGCACTGTGGAGCTCTGACCCCAGACTGGTGCTGAGCTCAGTCCCGGCTGCTGATGCCAGCTCAGGTGCAGGCAGGGGACAGGGGAAAGGAGCTTCCAGTTGTACCAGGAGCCTCACACTCTGGACAGGGCCCTGCAGAGGGGACAGCAGGACGTGGGCTGTAGGGCACAGCGTGCCATCAGCTCAGTGATGGCACTGCCAGGGAAGGACTGTGGGCACCCAATGCCCTCAGAGACTTGTGAATACTGGTGACCATGAATACTGGTGGCCAGGGATGGGGACAGGATGGGCCATGCAGGTGGCAGGAAAGGAGGGCAGATGGACCCAGAGCCCAGCACGCAGCGGGACTCACATTTTTGTGCAGAAACAAGAGCCTGGGACAGACCCTGGGTATCACTGTCCCCCCTCACAGCCCAGGGCTGCAGCCACTGCATCTCAGCAAGAGAGGCCAGGCCTGACCCCAAAACACCAGGACTGGGGGCTTTAAGTGCCTGGCCCTCCCTCCCCAGCTGCCTTTCCCTGGCTGAGGGAAACCAGGACAGGAGATGGAGATGTGCCCCAGGGAGCTGGAGCCATGAGCTCATTTGACAGCTCAGCTGCTGCTGGAGCTCCCAGGGGCTCTGAGAGCATTGACCACCTCCCAGAATTGAGGCCACCAGCACAGCCCTCTGGGGAGGGGATGTGCCCGGCCCAACAGACACTGAAACACTCACGTTCGAGCTTAAAAACAAACATTAAAAAAATTTAACAGAATAAAAGATGAGGGTGATCCTCCAGCTGCTGGTGAGGCAGATCCCCAGCAGAGCTGCCTGCCCTGGTGCCACTGGGGCCAGGAGGCCACAGGTTGAGGCTGGCTGGTGCCAGGGATCTGTCCTGCTGGTGCTGAGAGGTCTGGTTTCACTGGCCCTGCAATCCAGGCTGGGGGAGAGGAGGATTTCCTACCAGGGACCAGCTTGAGGCAGGGCCCCTCACCAGGGTGTCGCTGGGGACAGGGAGCTGGTGTCAGGGGGGGATGGGGTGCAGAGTGGCTCTCATTTGTTCTTGGCCAGCACACGGTACAGTGTGAACCCCACCAGCGCTGTCACCGCGGCCCCCAGGGCCACCCGGAGCCAGAAGGATGCGACTCCCAACTCCACAGCATTCAGGTGGCTGCAAGGAAATGGAGAAGAGGCTGGTGAGTTCGGCTGTCCCAACGCTCCCCACCAGCCCACAGCGCTCCCACCCCACACATGGAGATCTGGGGGGGCCCTGGGGGGCACAGGGCAAGCACAGCACTGGGGGTTACAGCCCAGCTGAAGAGGAGGCTCCAAGAGATTCCCGGCCCCACATGCCGGAGTACCCGTCACCTGGCATCATCATCAAGCCAAGGGGTGGCTGGTGGGATGGATGTGGCTGTCCCCTCCCCTGGCCTGGAAACAGCACACCAACACCTAAATAATTAGTAGGAGCACGGAGGTATCTGCCTTTCTAGGTCAAGCTGCCTTTCCAACCCCAAGTGACCCAGGAGCGGGTGCCACGGATCCGCCGGCACAGCCGGTGACTGGGACCGAAGGGCAGTGAGGGAAGGAGCCCAGCGTACACATTCCCTTCCTAAACACGTGCTGTCCTGCACCAACCTGCTCCTCTCCGAGGAGAGGCACATCCATTATTCATTCCCCACTACATCGGGGGAGCACAGCCAATCCCCAGCCCTCCATTACGCTGTTATTTATTTATACCACATACCCTAAGATATATTAAGAATATTTAAATTTTAATACTGCAGAAAGGGGGAAAAAAAAGCGTCAGCTCTAAAAATAAAGTTGTTTATTGAAAAGAAGCTAGAGGGAAAACTACTCACTAGTAATCCCATCCTGCCTTCCAATGCTCCCACATGTTTCTCCCTGCAAGGGCTCGGCCCCCAGCGCTGTGCTCGCTCTTCCCACCCCTGGAGCAGAGATTCCACACACAGCCACGCTGTCCTTCTTCCCACATGCCCCCTCACCTCCCATGACCAGCCTGGCGCTCCTCCTACTCCGTTCCCAGCCCCTGTGGGATGCAGTTCCTCCCAGAGGGAGGCTGTGTGACACAGGTCTCGCTTCACTGACCTCTTTTTCAGTCTGATCCATCTCATCAGGAGAAAATTGCTGCCACTCCCCCCGCGGGCCTTGGCAAACTAAGCTGGCTACTCCTCTCCAGCATTTTTTATCTTAGGCTTCAAAAATAAACACTCCTGTGGCAGGATCTATCTAATAAATCTGCCAGAGACAAACATGAGGCAGAAGAAAGCCTCCCCACTTTGCAAATAGGGGAAGAAACGGCCTTTCTGTTTCAATTACTTCCATGAAGAGATCACAGAATCCCAGAACCATTGAGTGGTTTGGGTTGGAAGGGACCTTAAAGCTCATCTGGTTCCTCTCTCCTGCCATGGGCAGGGACACCTTCCACTAGCCCAGGTTGCTCCAAGCCCTGTCCAACCTGGCCTTGGACACTTCCAGGGATGGGGCAGCCACAGCTTCTCTGGGCAACCTGTGCCAGGGCCTCACCACCCTCACAGGGAAGAATTTCTTCCCAATATCCCATCTAACCCTGCCCTCTGAGGGCAGTGGGAAGCTACTCCCCCTCATCCTGTCACTTCATGCCCTAGATGACACCAAAATCACTAGATGACACCAAAAGCTGGAGAGAAACAAAGCAAAAGCAATGTGTCAGAGGTCAGGTTTGGACACAGCCCCCTCCCCAGGCTTTGCTCCCAGCAGAGCCCCTTCCACAGGAAGGATACTAACGGGAAGGTGGCAGCAGTGGCCAGCTTGGTGTAGACAGCAGTGCTGGGTGGTCCCTGGCAGTGGCAGGTGAAGGGAAAGGGTGGAGGGAGGCAGTGCTTGTAGCAGAACTCAGCTGGGGCCAGCCCAGGCTGCTGGCTGGCTTCTGGCAGGTCCGTCTTGGAGGCCACGAAGACACAGGGGATCTGGCTGTCCATATAGTGCTGCTGCAGGGACAGGAGAAAGCCCAGCGAGGGGTTAAGTGAGCAGCCCCCGGGGGATGTGGGGCTGCCATGAAGGCTGGAGTCCCACAGGGGCCCTGTGGTCCCACAAGAACCCTGTACAGTCCCCCAGGGTCCCAGCCAGTTACCTTATAAACAGTGGCACAGTAGCTGAAGGATTTGGGGTCGCTCAGGTCGTAGACGAAGCAGGCGACGTCGCAGGCTGTGTCTGACGGCTTCGTGAACGTCGAGTCGGCGCTGACCTCATACAGCTGGAGCAGGAGGGGAAAGGACACAGGGCATGTCACTACCTCAGGGGATCAGCTGTTCCCCTCACCAGAACAGGAACGGTGCTGGCTGATCGCAGCCACAGCCCAGCCTGGGGTGCTGGGATATGGGAGGATACAGTCAGCCCTGCTGTGAGCCAGGCACTGCACAATTCCCTCCTCCTCCAGACTTACTATGAGGTATTTCTCCTGGCCATTGACCTGCACCGTGTTGATGCTGTAGGGGGATGGCTGTCCCGGGTTCTCCTTCTGGGCCTGCCAAGGACAACACTGTCAGACAGTGGGGACATGAGCAGTGCTTGCTAGGGGACAGCATTTCAAACTGCCCTGAGCCCCAGTGGCCTAACAGCCACCTGAAGGGCAGCCAGGGCCTGCCACGAGATGTGGGGCTGTTCCTAACAGGCAGGGAAAGTCAGCATCACTGTGGTGACACTGGGGAAATATAGCTGCCTGGAAAAGGCACAGCCCTTCCAGATCTTTGGGACAAGCAGAGGGAGTGGGCCCACTGCCTCAGCCAAAATTATGGATGCAACAGCCACAGAACCACCAGCACGCAGGGGGGTGTAAAGCATGGGCAGGGAGAGCATCACACAGGGGGCAGGGAGATGCCACCATGGGATAGGTCACTCCAGGACCTCCGGCTCTGCCTCCTGCTCCTGCCCAGCGTGGCCGGACAGGGAGCAGCCACTCACCGCCAGGCTCCTGCCGAGGAAGGCCTGCAGGAAGGCGGACTTGCCTGCGCCCCGGGCTCCCAGCACCTTGCACAGGAACACATTCCTCTGGGTCTGCCCTTTCTCCAGGTCAATCCTCTTCTCCCGGGTCACTGGCAGGAGAGAGGATGGGTGAGCACAAGGAGGGGCCCGAGCTGTGACAGGAGGGGAGGGCATGGCTGTACCTGTGAGGGCCTGTGTCTGCGAGTCCTGCTCCGACAGGATGGGGTAGCCCAAGTAGCCCAGGCACTCCAGGCAGTGCCGTACATCCAGGTAAGCCACGAGCCTGGAGAGACAGAGCAAAGGCGAGAGGGTCAGCGAGGGCTGAGTGATGTGAGCAGGGCTGGGGGAGAGGGACTGAGCTTACGTCCACTGGCAGAGGAATCCATGCAGGGAAAGCAGGCCTTTATCAGTGGTGCATACCGTGTTGGAGAGCTCGGGGCCCCAGGGCACGCAGGGGAACACGCTGAAGAAGTTCTGCAGCTCTGTGTGCGAGAGGGCTCCATCTTGGTCCTGCCAAAACAAAGGGTGTCAGCAGGAGAGCCAGGACACAGCCCACGCCCAGAGGGGTCCCTGGCACACTGGCCATCTCACTGGCTGCTGTGGAATGACACAGGGATGCTGTCAATGGCAGGAATTGATCACAGCCAGAGCTGGGTGAGCGTGCAGAGCCTGTGCCCCAGGGACTGCCAGCACTGCATGAGAGACAAGCCAGTGTGCTTTGGGATCACAGCTGGAACCAGGCACGACCTGCACTCCCTACAGTCCTGAGCTGCTGTTCTGGCTCCCCTGGGGCCAGCTGTCCCACAGCCTCCACGGGACCAGCCTGGCCTTCCACACTGCAGGGTATCTAGCCCAAAGTCTGTGTGTGGCCACCAAGCAACCACAGACCAACACAGCACCCTCAGGCTGCTGTGCCTGAAGGAGAACTGCTGGCACCTGGGCACACAGGGATGTGCATCCATTCAGTTCTGCCATTCCCTGTGGCCAGAGCTGAGGCCATTCCCTGGGCACATGGGGACGTGTGTCCGCTCAGTGCTGCCATTCCCAAGCTATTCCCCGTGGCCACAGAGCTGCCATACCCCAGGTGCACATCAACATCTGAATAACCACTCCAAGCAGGTGCATTCAGATCCAACACATCCCCTCCTCCCACTCTCCAAGAGCCAGAGTATGGTACAAATGGGTTGTTTTCTCTCCCTCCCTCGGGCCTGGCAGCCCTCCACAGGGCTGGCAGCTGTGCAGATGCTGGTGCTTGGTCTGTGGCTGCAGGCCAGCAGCTGTGCCCGCTTCCCTGCCACCCTGCCTGCTGCAGCCAGGCACTACAAGGGGCCATGCCAGCTTGATCCTCATTCAGACCCAGCCCTTGAAAGCCCAAACTGCCCTTTGGTCAAGGGTAGTGACCACCACTCATGTGCCTGACAAGCCATCAGACTACCAACAGCTTGCTGTGACCACTTTCTGCTTCCAAAGCCTTCCAAAGGGAATGCTGTGTCAGAGGAAAGCCCTTCACTGCTGCTCCGTGGGCTCCCTGGCACAGAGGGGTGGGCAGGGGAGCAGCTGTGCCCAGGTGTGCAGGCCCAGGAGAGCCCCACCTTGTCGTGCTTCTCAAACAGCCGCTGCAGGAACTGGTATCCCAAGTGGTTCAGCTCTGTGGAGCAGCCGGGGGGCACACGGAACCTGTGGGAAAAATCATGGAATCATTACGACTGGAAAAGCCCTCTGAGATCATTGAGTCCAACTGTTCCCCCAGCACTGCCAATGCCACCACTAACCCGTGTCCCCAAGTGCCACAGTCACACAGCTTTTAAATCCCTCCAGGAACAGTGACTCCACCACTGCCCTGGGCAGCCTGTGTCGGTGCTTGACAAGCCTTTTGATCAAGAAATTTTTCCTAAAATCCAACACAAACCTCCCCTGCATCTTTCATATCTTATTTTCCAGTTCAAATAGCCAAATAAGCCTCCTCAAGCCCCGAACAAAGGGCAGTGTGTGAGCAGATCTCACCCAGAGGACTCAGCTCCCCACTCCCTCCTTGCTCAAGGCCAGCTGTTGCCTCCAGGCCTGGCTATTCCTTGACACAGTCCCCTTGTTTTGGGGAGAATCCCCTGAAGGTGCACAGAGGCCTCTCTTTGGCACATCCCAAGCAGCCAGAGAGATGCTGTGCCCTTGCTCCACCTCATGCCCAGGGCTCCAGCAGAGCACAGCACTGCCCTGGGGTGCCATCCACCAGCATGTCCCTGTCACCTCCCCACAGCCTGCTGTCTGAGGAGAGGAGGAGGCAGCTCCAAGCCAAGCCCTTCCATTCCTGCCAGATCCCCACCTCCAGGGTGGCAGGGAGCAGAGAAGAGACAGCAGCTGCAGAATGAGCCAGGAGGGCTGTGCTGACAGCTCACTGCTCCTGACAGAGCTGCTCTGCCTCGGCTCAGGCAGAGACAGAGCAGCCTCCAAAAGCCCCTGACTGATGTCAAGGCAAGTCTGGGACTTCATTCCCCACCTCCCTGCCTGTCTAGATCAGAACCAGCAGCACAGCCAGCAGCCCCAAGGCCTGTTGTACTTGTCCCCAACCCCACGTGTCAGCTCCTGCCTGCAGGGGAAGGCGAGGGCTGTGAACCTGACCCTGACCTAAGGGTCCACAGCAGCTCCAGGGCGCAGGAAGGATCCAGCCAAGGTGCTGGGGACCCCCGAGCCGTGCACCACCAGGGTGTGACCCCTGTCCCCCGCCCAGGGCAGGACACGCACTGTGGGTACAGGTAATCGTCCGTCAGCTCCAGCTCGTCGTCGTAGCCGAAGCGGCGCAGGATGGTCCAGGTGGTCTCGTGCCGGCCCCTCTGGATAAAGAGTGTGTTGAGGAAGAGGAAGCCTGCAGGAGAGATCAGGGGCTCAGGCAGTGGGGTCAGCTCAGCCTCAGGGATCCACTCCTTGGGACTGTGCTTTCCCCAGGAAAACAGGCTGCTTGGACACAGAGATCTACCAGCCCAGCAGGCTCCAGCTTGCTTTAACAAGAGGGACTAATTAGGCTTGGAATGAGAGACACAAGGCTGGAGACAGGGCCCTTCAGGATGTGCTGAAGGAGATGGGTCCCCCCCATCCCTTGGGAAGAAGTAGGGAGCCCCTGTGCTGTTACCATTCAAGGTCAGGCCGTTGTCCTGCACCCCGTCTGTCGTGTTCTTCCACACAACCATCTTCACATCCTCCAGGGCCTGTGGAGCCAGTGGGTTTCCAAAACAGGACTTCTGCCTCCCAAGGGAAAGAAGGCCACTGTCAGCAAAGCACACAGAGAGAACAACCCTGTCTCACCAGCTTCCCTCTCCCCTGGCAAGGGATGGGGTTTCAGGGAGAGAAAATCCACCCAGCTCAGGGATTTCTGCTTTAGACCTTGACCAAACCCCTGTTCTTCAGCATCCCAATAAGTTGGGACTCTCTACATCTCTAGAACCTCCTGGTCTTCCCACAGCAGAGCAAACTCAATCCAAGCTTAGGAAGATAGAACCTCATGTGCTCAGAAATGCACCCTATGGTGCTTTAGGTGTGGAAAAGAAGTATGAATGGGAACAGGATGGCCGTGTCAGGAGAAGGCTGGCTTTTGCCTGCTATTGGATGGATAGGGAAGCCCAGGGACTGGGGAATATCTCAGCTCTGCAGCCAACCCTACCTGGAAGTAGTTAAGTTCATCATCACTAAGGATCTGGTTGTTATCCTGGTCTGAGAGGTTGAAGATCCGGGTCAGTGCTCGTGCACAGGTGGGTTTCAGCTGCAAGGGACCAACCACGGTGACAAACGGCACCAGCCTCAGCCTGGCCCTTCCTCCTGCAACCCCATACACAGTGGGTTCCCTTCCTGCACTGCCTGGGAACACAGCCCAGCCAAGCACCCTCTGAGGTGGGAATCATGGAATCATTCAGGTTGGAAAAGCTCTCCAAGATCATCAAGTCCAACCGTTCCCCCAGCACTGCCAAGGCCACCACTAACCCATGTCCCCAGGTGCCACATCCATATGGCTTTTACATCCCTCCAGGGATGGGGACTCCACCTCTGCCCTGGGCAGCTGTGCCAGTGCCTGACAACCCTTTCTGTGAAGAAATTTTTCCTAATATCCAATCTAAAGTGAAAAAAGACAGTCCATAGGGAATTCTTCTCCTGGACCCTTCCCACCATGGCTAACAGATGGTCTGGAGCACGAGGGCTCCTGCCCCAACACACCCCGGTCCTTGCAGGTCTCTCTGGCCTGGGTATGCCCAGCTGGCTGTGCTGAGCACAGGAATGAACACCATCTCCTTGTCCTGCCTGTGTCAGCCCAAACCCTCCACCTTCCTTCCCAAAGCTGCACACCAGAGCACTGTGACAGGAAGAAGACTCTCCCAGGAGCCTACCTGCTTCTCCTCCGGGTCGTAGAGCGGGGCAGTGGGGTGCAGCACAGCTTTCTGGGCGTAGTAGAAGAGCTCAGAGATGTTCTTGAGGTTCTTGGCAGAGCACTGCGGATTCAAAGGAAAAGACAGCTCTGGGAGCTGATGAAAAGGGGCAGGAGGAGGATGACACGAGCTCCCTGAGCCAGACAAGTTGTGCATCAAAACACAGAGCAATATTTGCCCACCATGAGAAAAAATCAAAAGGGAAAAACCCCTGGGTTTTGCTCTGGTTTTGCTGTGCCCATTCCACAGCCCCAGAGCCAACACACAAAGCACAGAATGCCCAAATCACAGGCTCTCAACCCCCAGACACGGGGACTTCTGCAGAGCAGTGTCAGCAGGGCAGCCCTCCAGAAGCAGAGGCTCCCTGACTCACACCAGATCAGCACTCTGACCCCTCAGGGAAGCTCTGCAGACACCCTCCAGTTCCCTCACCTCCACACAGGTCTCAATCTCCGAGAACTGGTTCATGATGGGCAGGATGACCTCCATGGAGCTGCCCATCTGCAAGTCAGACTTGTTTCCCACTAAAATAATGGGGATCCTGGCAAAGACACAGAGCACAAGTAAGGCCACCCCTCCCTTGGTCCCAGCACTGTCCCAGCCACTGGTGCTCCCATGGGGCAGGTTGGGGAGCCCCCACCCCTCCTCTGCGAGGTCCAGAGCAGCTTTCCTGCCTCCCATGGCCAGGAGCATCCATCTGGAGAAACAAACTGCCTGATCCTGCTTAGGCTTTCACCCAGCAACAATATGTTCAGCAGTCTTTAATCCAGCATAGCAGTCTTTAATCCAGCATAGCAGCCTTCTGCCTAAGTGATCCACACAGATTGCAGCTCAGAGATTCCCTTGGCAGCCTCCTTTCTCTGTCTGGCTGAGAAGAGATCAAGGGGAAAGAAGGATCCCTCTCCAGTGGCCCCCTGCCTCAGCTGGATCTCTGAGGGAGAAAAGCCCACATGTTCTTATGCTACAAGTGGTCTAGCCACAAGCCACAGTCATGGAATACTTTTGATTGTAAGGGACCTCAAAGATCATCTCATTCCACCCCCTGCCATGGGCAGGGACACCTTCCACTAGCCCAGGTTGTTCCAAGCCCTGTCCAACCTGATCTGGATCAAAACACAAAGCTGGTTTGGTCTCAGCCCCCTCAGGAAGGTGGTGGGTTCCCCACAGTCCCCAGAGCCCCCCAAATCTGCACCCACAGATCATGCCACACATGGTACCTGGATCCCTTTTCAAGTCCCCCGTTCACCATGGGAATCCACTTTGTGCGAATCTGGAAGGTGAGCAGAGGGTGTCAGCACAGCCTGGGGAGGGAGAGGCAGATCCCAGGCAGACAGCAGGGCCCTGCAGCCATCTGCTCCCCAGCATTCCCCCGCACCAGCAGGCAGAGCAGACCCAGGGATGCTGGATACCAGTGCAAGGATTCAATCAGCCTGTTCTGAGGACAACCACCAGTGTGGGAGCAAGCTTGTTCTGTGCTCAGCCTCTGCCTGCAGGGGTCTCAGACCCCAAATCCCCCACAGGGCTGGTATGTGCTCACACTATGCAAGGGCAGCATGGAAACCCCAGTGCTGGGAACCCCTTCCCCTCTGGCTCTGCTGCTGAGGCAGGGCTGTGGTGGCACCTGTTACCTTGTCAATGGTGGCCTCCTTGGTGACATCGTACACCACACAGACCACGTTGGCCTGCAAGAGAAGCAGCAGAGGGTGGTGAGGGGGTCCTTGTGCACACCCACAGCAGCAGGGAATGCCGGAAACGCAGCCGCAGCGGCTGAGTGCACGTGAGTGAGGACACGTACACAGCCCTTCACACACAGCCCTCCTCACACAGC